CAATCAATGAAAGATTTATGACAACAAATATATACACTCAAACACACACATTGGCTTCTTCTTCTTCTTCTTCTTCACTTTTTTTTATGTCACATCATTATTTTTATTATGGCGCTGCCGGCGGCGTCGGCCCGTTATTCGAGAGTGATTAGTGACTAAAAATGACAACAATAATAATTGCATTGGCTCTGCGTGTATGTCTGTGTGTGCGTGTGTGTGTGTGTGTGTGCGTGTCGGCCACATGAATGATGTCCCATCCATGTTATTCGATATGATTCACAAATAAGTACAAATATTTGCTATCGCAGAGCGCTGTGCAGCTGAAAGCAGCTTTCCAGGAAAAACTGATTGGTTTATGCCACATGCCGTCGCTAGATGGCGCCAAATTGTCCGCCAGCAACGACTACAGAGCCAAACAGCGCACTTCAGAGCACAACGCAGCACACTTTTCAGCTTTAGCTTAAACAAATCCATGTGGAAATTTGAAATTAATACAGAGTTAGGGAACAATTAAATACAGGAATCAAATGATTCTTTTCTAATTGACCGAGCGACTGAGGTGCATATGGAAGTGAGAGAGCGAGTGGGAATGAGTGAGAGAGAGAGAGAGAGAGAGAGTGTGTGTGAGAGAAAGAGAGGCAGAGTGAGAGAAAGAGATAGAGAGAGAGAGAAAGAGATAGAGAGGGAGAGAGAGGGAAAGAAAGGAGAGACAGACTGAGAAAGACAGCCATTTGGGTCAATGTAGCAGGGTCGTTATGAGTATCAGTGGATTAAGAACAAGTAAGAAGGCTCCAGTCGAGACTGGAAACTGCGCAGTAAGCAGCGACTGCGCTTGGGCTGCGCTGCAGTGTGGGCAATATTATGAGAATTTATTTGTTGAATAATTTCGTTTGTAGACAAACGATCTTAATGAAACTTTCAGAGTGTAATCATAGGGTATATGATGTGTGAATATGTGTGTACATTCCAAAGCACAAGTCTTTAGTATTTACAAATTGGGGGCGAAGGGGGCGTGGTATCCAAAATCTGTAAATTACAAAATCTTTGTATCGATTAACTTTATATACAACGCAAATTTGAAGACTCCAGGTCTAAAAGTGTTCAAATTAGGCTTAAAAAAATCAATTTTTCGATTATTCTCGATAAAAAAGTTATCGGATGATTTATCGAAAATAAAGCAAACTCGTACTGCGTATGGTACACACGAGTATGCATGCCAAATTTCAGCTCTCTAGCTCTTATAACTTCTGAGATCCACGCACTCATACGGACGGACGGACGGACGGACGGACGGACGGACGGACGGACGGACGGACGGACGGACGGACGGACGGACGGACGGACGGACAGACGGACAGGGCTATATCGACTCAGCTCGTCGCGCTGGTCAAGAATATATACAATTTGTGGGGTCTGCCACGCCCGTTACATACTTTTTCACAAAACCATTATACCCTGATTTCCCATTTTCAATGGGTTCAGGGTATAAATGGCGCCCAGAACCTGTTGAAGGTGACTAAAAGTTAAAAGCAGTTTTTCATCCTGATTTAAGAAATACATTTATAATTACAAAAACAATATTAAACAAGAAATAAATGAGAAATAAGCCATCATTCACAGCATGGCCCAAACTCTCGAATGAGTCGCTTCCATATGTTGACTCTCTGGCTTTGCTCGATGCAGTTGATCGGCGTGGTTCAAGTTTGGCTCAGTTTTCATGCATTTGGCTCGGTGCGGTTCCTTGGCTTTTGGCAAATTTGTAAGTTGGTGCCGTTCGACTTGGACATGCAACAGCAGTTGTAGTACGCTGTGCGTGTGTATGTGTATGTGCGGGTGTGTGTGTGAGTGTATTGTCTCTATTATCTGATGTGTTCTGTCTGCTGTTTTGCTGTCTGCTGCTGCTGCCGCTGCTAGCTCACATTTTGACACTAACTGCATTTTGTAGACTTTTAGCCACGCCCCCAACAAACAGCTCTGCCGCCCAGCTGTCCGTCTGTCCGCCCAGCGTCCCATTTGCAAGCTGTAAGTGAAATCTTTCAGTGCGTGTAAAATGCCGTTGCTCGGTTTTTGGGTGCCACGCCCACACACTTGCAACACCAACAACAACAACAACAGCAACAGCAACAAGAAGAAGCAACGAGTTGGACAACAATGAAATGCTTTTAGCATCGAGCTGCGAGCAGCGCCAAGCGAAATTAAGTTAACAACACACAGAGAGAGAACAAGAGAGAGAGAGAGAGAGAGAGAGAGAAAGGGAGAGGGAAAGCGGGAGCGATAGAGAAAAAAGTTTTGTTCACTGTTTTTATTGAAAATTGAGTTAAAAAACAGAAAGTGTCGACGTCGGCGACTCGTTTGCTGCGTGTTGTATTTTATTTTAACATGCTGCTGCTTCTTCCAATTGTTACACACACTCACACACACTCACATACAAAGATGACTGCATGCACTCACATAAATTGTTGTTGCATAGTTTACTTTTAGCCTATGCCCAAATCGAACACAATCATCAAAAAAAAAGTCTTAAAGTAAAAATATTTTTTATTTTATTTTTTTAATCAAGTATAATTTATAAACTTAGCTAGCAATATTTTCTTGTGTTCTTTTTCTGAATATTGGCATTTTTTTTTTTTTTCAAGTGTATTCTTAAGAAAAGAATTCTAATGAATTCTGAGCACTCGAAACAAAAGAGAAAACGAGTTGACTGTTCAAGCTAAGGTTTTTTTTTCAGCAAATACTGCAACGTCTAGTAACTAGCTAATCACTTTCCTTTTTTCTTTAAGTGTATACGGTGGAAGTAATATTTGCTTTAAGAAGTCAGCTTAGATGAGGACTCAGTTTATCAACTGTCTCTATTTCTCTGTTTTTAACACGGATATTAATATCGATGAAGCAGGCTATTGCTATGACATATATGTATATGGATCTGACATATATATTATAAATTACAGCTCTTGTTCGATGGCAACGCTTTTACTTGCTATAGTTTGGCATAGTTGAGCTTTCTCTTCATTTTCTCAAGTCTTAAGCCGACGCTTTATTTATTATAAATTCAAATGAATGCGAGGCACAAGATTTGCTCAATTTGTTGATGGCCGGCTTCGCTGGCTGTCAGTTAACCAGACAAACTTGCGCTTAGGTGCTCCAAGGAATCTCAATAAAAGTTGTCGACAGGGCAATAACATCAACACAAACAGAGAGAAATCGAAACATAAAGAGCGAGAGGGAGAGAAAGAGAGAGAGAAAGGCAGGGCAGAAGCTCTCTAGTGTTGCCAAATCAGCGCAGAGATCACACAGAGATAGCTGCGTGTGTGCCTGTGTGTGTGTGTGTGTGTGTGTATGTGAGCATAAAATTTATAAATTATTGAATCTATGAAAATATGAACATCACGTACGCGACGCCGCACGCTTTAGCTGCTTTTTTTCTTCTGCTTCCTCTGTCTCTCTCTCACACACACACACACACACACACACTTGTTAGGACGAACTATTCAGCAGCAGATACATACATCTACAGGCCATAGATACACGGATGCATAGATACAGATACAAGCAAGACAATCGCACAAAATGAACTTACAGTTATGCACAAAAAGCAAAGTATGTGTGTGTATGTGTGCGTACGTCAGAATATGCACAGAATTTCATTACGCTGCCTGCGTTCGTCGTTCGTTTTTATAAATAAATAAGTTGGCATCCCTGCCAGCCAGCCAACCAGCCAGCCAGCCAGCCATCCAGACAACCAACCAGTGAGCCAGCTAGCTAGCCTGCCAGCCTGTTTATTTGTTTGTTCGTTTGTTTGTTGTTTGTTAAAGTTTGTTCATCTGTTTCGTCGCGTTCGACGTGCTCAACATTATTGGCGGCTTCGCTGGCTACACCAAGATACCGATTGAGGTATGGGGGTTGTAATAGACCCCCACCAGCACCGACCGAGCGCCCACCCACCACTGAAACTCCTATCTATCTGCCACCCGACACACCCCGCTCCAGCCCCGCCCCCATCTTAACCATAGTTTGAAAAGGCGTCTGCCAGCAATAACGGTGCCAACTAGAAAACTTTTCTAATAATTCGTTTGATGAATTTCTTTTCCACGACACCAAAAAACAAAAAAGGAAAAAGGGGCCAACGGAGAAGTCAGCAGTAAGCCAGATACGGGGAAAAAATAAGAGGAAGCGGGCGAGAAATGGATATACATATATTCATTGCCTGGTCGCAGTTGGCGCAGCGCTCTTCGGGCAGACGCAACTGAACTATGATGGCAATGCATAAGAGCTTTTAGCAAATAAACAATAAGCCAGCTGTCAGCCAGCTCTCGAAAATGTCGCAGCCCTCGCCTGATGTTGAAAGCGGAAGGCGGCTCACTCCGACTAACTAATATGCAGATGAATGCGTGTAAATGCGTGATCTACTTTGGATTACTTTGAATGCGTTCCTCAAGCATATTGAATCGCGCCTGTTGGATGAATGATACACGCACTCACACACACACGATCAGGCCCTGTTATAATGGACCCGAGGACATTCACATTAGATGACGTCACCTGAGATGGTCAACTATGTTTGTATGTGTGTTTCGTCAATCTTTTAGTGAACAGTCCACAGTCCACAATCCATAGTCCATAGTCCATAGTCCACAGTCCACAATCCATAGTCCATAGTCCACAGTCCACAGTCCACAGTCCACAGTCCATAGTCCACAATGCATAGTCCACAGTCCATAGTTCATAGTCCACAGTCCACAGTCCACAGTCCATAGTCCACAGTCCATATTCCACAATCCATAGTCCACAATCCATAGTCCACAGTCCACAGTCCATAGTCCACAGTCCACAGTCCACACTCCATAGTCCACAGTCCATAGCTCAGTCCACAGACTATAGAGCATAGACCATAGTCCACAGTCCACAGTCCATTGGAATAGCTAAAAGGAATATTTTCTGAACGATTGCCGTATAAATTTAAAAACAAATACAATTTTTGGTGTTCAAAAAATCGAAGTGATTTATTTGAAACATTTTATTTTTTTATAACAGTTACTCCATTAAAATTGGACGCGAGCACACGTCCCCGGCATCAAGTAAAGGGGCGTGGTACCGTCCTGTAAAAGAAAGAACTTCGTTTAATATAATATAACAAAAAGAGAAGGCGTAAAGAGTCTTGAGATAAAAATAATTATTTGTTTCGCACCTGAAAACCAACTCGAATTTACGTTTTTTTATTTGAGAAGTTGAATCTTGATTATAGTTTGACTTTTGGACCGGCTAACGAAACTTTGATAGTTTCATATACATGTATTTTCCTAATTTGTCGTTTCTTATCCTTGTATTAGTTACTATAACTAAGAATCGGTTGTTGTGCGCTCTTGTGTATTGATTGGATCTCATTGAAATTCCTTACTTGACAATTTTTCGCTTACGACGCTAGCTGCAGCGCTCTGCTCATAGCGCGGTACCGTCCTGCGTAGTAACTTCACACCGAGACATTTAGATATATTTGTATAATATATACATCTATGGTATACTTACGATTTGAAGATGAAAATTTGAGAGCCAATCAAAATATAATTAAAGACTAGATATTGAGTAGGTATGCCTCAAAGTTTGACACCTATTTTTACATCGTTTGCGTTTGATATTCAAGCGATTAAAGAAACCTGCATACCACGCACAGTAGCTGTTGCTTGTTGCTAGAAGAATGCATATTAGAATCTATAGATTAGGAATAATTTATCGGATCTTTTAGAAATACTTACATTATTATTATTATTTTTTTTTTATGTATGTGCAATCTATATGGAGTGGCAAACGCGTTCTTATATCATGATATGATGATGGATGAGACTCGAAGCATATTTGTATACATATATATATATGCATATATGTTCGGATGTACATACAGATATATGGAGTGCAGGTAACTATAACTATCTTTGTTCATGTCAATGTAAATGTGTATGAATA